TATATATATATGTGTGTATATGTTTAAATTAATTAATGTATTTACTTGTAATATACATGCATACATACACACAGTGTCAGACGCTACATGGAAGTCGCTTCTTGTAGTCGAGCAGCTTTCCTAAGCACACACGGCAAAGTAGAAGTGCAAAAACCTGCAGGTGCGGCCAATGGATCAACAGGCACGGAGACTCAGGAAAACAAGGTGCAACCAAGCTTGGATGGGGAAAAGCCTAGCCATGGATGACTGAACTGGTCAAGAAACATTGACTCCTTGACAGCATTTGTCATGCCAGTCGTCTGCGACTATGTTGGCTTGATGATAACTTGGCACATCGTGGCACTACGCGTCTGCAGCTGCATTATTTTTTGGGACCGCAGTATTTGAAACACACATGCACTTCCATGCTGATCCTTGGAATGTTTTATGTGCCTTTTCTCACCACTGCGTGTTGTCTTGCGATGCTACAGGCGGAAGGTAGGTCTTCGCTCGGCAAGCCGGCGGAGCATGACAAGATTCCCTAGCAGTGCGGCCCGAATGCCAGAACAAACATGCCGCTGTCCGCGAGAGTTCCTCTGTTCGAGGGGCAACAACGAATGAACAAGTGCAATCAGTCCAGCAAAGTGGCCCCTTCGTAATAGCCACCTGGCTCATCAGTTGCGTACTCATCTGCTTTTGTGCAGTGCCTCGGCAAGTCTCTCTGAAGATGCCAATTTCTTCGCAAATGAATTCACACATCTGGCCCAAAACGTAATAGTGCAAGCAATGTGCTCCGCGAAGTAAGCGCCAAGGCCGTACATGGTTCCTGTCAGAGCTGTCGGCTGGCATGTCAGCATGACACTTCGGGTCTGAAGCATCGAGATTCAAGCAAGCCTCGCGAAGCAAGCTATGTGTGATATTTCATCATCTCGATACAGGCTGGTGCCACTGCCATCCCGGCCGACAGTGGCCCAGAGGTCAGACTCTCTCAAGTTGTCATCGATCCCTCTCCGGAAATCTTCCCCACCTACGAGTAACATCGCGTTTCTAGGCGTTGCAGAGCTGTCCAAACCCTCGGGCCCTTCACAGTCGCAGGTGACTCTGGTGACTATCCCACCTGTGGAGCTGCCGGCCAGGTCGATGCGAAAATCCTTGTAGACACACATGTAACATGGCTCGCAGGTTCCGCTGCAGCAAGCTTCAGCTAAATTTTGACATCAGTATGAGGCAGTGCGACATAGTGCGATGAAGACCGCGCAGAAGATGCAACAGTGATGCAACCAGACTAAACCGGCGTCCGAGATGCACTCTGTGCAATCGAAAGAGCCGAGCGCACGTTCGTGCCATGCCAGAGGTACATTTCATTCAACCTGGCATCATCACGACACATCACACTCTCTGGCCAGCAAAAGTGAGCAGCAGCGTCAATGCCAACCAAACCAGGTCACTCCAGGTCCAGCGGCTCGAAAATCCTAGTGTTACCTCAGGTGAGCCAGCCTCACGAAAGCGTTTGAAGGTCCCTCGTTCATCTTCGTGCAGTGCGAACTCGCTCTGCATGCTGCAAGAATACTTCAGCTAGGCTCGCGCAGGGGGGTTCGCTCATGAATCATGTCAAGGGGCCGCCCGCGATATCGTCAGCTACTTCTTGAGAAACCACTTCGTTCGACACAGCCGGCGGATCCAGCTGCTGTATTGGCATCTCCTGCTTTCGAGACGACTCGTGTCTTGAAGGTTTCCATGTCTAGCATTGGACAAGGAGGTAACGTACCACCGCCAGCTCTGGATGCAAGCAGGGTGAGAGCAGCAGTCACACTTGTGGGCTTATGCAGTACTGCTCAGCACTAGAAAAAGGGCTGGCACCAAAGCCATCTGTGACACATGTTGAAGCCAACACATCATGTTGGAGATGATGAGCTGAGTTGAAGTGCGGACGTGGAGAACTCCATGTGCCAATGCGTAAGGAAGCCGCAACATGTGCCACAACTAAACTTGCGGCCGAACAGCTGCTGCTCGCCGCTGGGCAATGGCGTTGCCTTAAGAAGCATGGGGTCCATAGCAATGTTTACTGAAGTTTACCGGGCTGACCGCTAAAGATCTCTAACGATCTTGTGCAAACAACATGCGATGTTGACGACTCGACGTCGCTTAACGATCCATGTTGAACCGTTCCAGGCCTCCTGCACGCGCACATTTACAAATGGCGAACGGCATCCTGTAAGGCGGTGGCGTTGGTCCACGTAGCGGCCCCACATTTCTGAGTCTTCTACGCGCACAACCCGCCGCACCTGGCCATGACACATATCAGCTCCAGATAGAGTCGTGGCGAGGACAGTCTCGTCGCATCAGTCAGGAGCGTGGCTACAGTGCGTTTGGGTTTACTCATCGTCGGAACATGGGCCGGAGTTTAAGTGGGCACTTGCCTTGTTACTTGTTGATTATGCATTGCATGCATTGGTTGCTTCCGTTGTATTCACTCAGAAAGCAAAACTGATTTCGATGAGGCTGGTATGCATCATCCACATATGCTGAGCACTAAGTCCAGCTCGAACCGAGTAGTCCGGGACCAATCTGTGCTTTAGCCAATCAAGCATCAACGCGTGATTCAGATTCCCGGATCTTGCCTTGACCTTCCCGTGCCTGCACAGTTTATCACCTTCCTAGCTGTGTCGGACCCAGGGTCTTTAACCAAAACTGCCGCAAAGAGTGAACACCACCAGCTTAACACACAGCTGGTATTCAGTCATGGACTGTGTAGAAACAGAACATGTTTCTGAGACTTGAGCGTGCAAGAAACCATCCAGGTCTACTGCAGCACGAGACAGAAAACTAGGGAACCAAAGCGATACACGCGTGCTTGGGAGTGTCAAACAACCATGCGACACAACCTCGTCAGCACAAGGGAACGCAGTAACCATGAGCCGATGGTCCTACCTTGAAGCCGGTTGGCAAGCCAGGGCTTGCCCCAGGCTGTACACAAGGGCATCCTGGCCGAGCTGCATATATGCCGTTCAAGCCGCATGTGATCCCCTACCCCATTCACTCGGGTAAGGACTTTCACTCTGAAGGACTGTTTTTCGGCACTTGCTTCTGCCGCTGGGCTCCAGCTTCGGCACTGCTTGGACATGCGGACCAGCAAACGTCCTAATTCGCCAAGATATGGCAAGACGAAACCGCAATCCTCGCAAAGGACCCTCGCCGGCCTCCTGGGGTTTTGGGGCAAGTGCCTCTCGGGCACTTCCTTGGCGGCAAATCGGATTGTCGCAATATGCAATGCTGGAGTTAAGCACCAGCTCCCTGTCAGCATCGTGATCCCAGATGTCTAGAGTCTAGAGCCGGTAGGCCACGTCTTTCTGCACTTCCAGTGCTACTGGGTTGTGCTTTCACATTCCACAGTTTGGGCGTCCAAACATGTCAAGGCTGGTGCAAGCCAGCGGCCTGTCTTGCGTCGCCTTGGCACCTCGGCACGGGGAGGCTTTTCGTGTGCGGAGGTCGTCGAAACTGACAGCCACCTACACATTACTAGGCTAGTCTGGCCGGCAGGCGATATGTGTTCTCTAGAAGTTCGTTGAACTTGGCGTGCTTCTGCCGGTCGACATAGATCCTTAACACCACAAGCAAGCGGGCGGGGGGGAGTGCTTGGCGCTCCATCACCATCAAAAACTCTTGAGATGTCCGTGGAAATCAATGTGGCAGTTATTCCGAAACTGCAGCGCTAGAAATATCTAGAAATCAGAACTGGCCCGCAATCTCGGATTGCCAGGATTCATCTGGTCGAAAGCGTTATTGTCAGGAACTTTGACATTCCTTAGCTCCATGGTGCTTGCCTTTCCTGTCTTGGATTCGCTGCGGCAAGACTTGAGCTACGACACGCGGACAGCAAGGAATGCCAACCCACACAGGCCACCCGGTACCGAAGCCACGCCTATCGCTGGCTTAGCCCAGCTCGCCACGTCCCGATTTCCACGCCAGGAGGCGCCCAATATGTCGGCCTTATAGCATGGATCGGTTTGCGAAAAAGAAAGCCAAGCACTCTGAATTGAAGACTAAGGGTGTCCTATGCTTAGCAGGCTCTGGTCGGCAAGTTTGGCGCCAGATAAGTACTTGTAGCAAATTAGCAACATCAGGAGGGCTTCAGTCTTGAAGCCGCCAGCATGTCGACTATGTTGAATCTGTGAGAGTTTGCATCCAAGAAGCAAGATTGTAGCAGCCACCTGAATGGTCGAGTTTTCACCAAAGATCTCAAGCAAGAGGTAGCCATCACATCGCCGAGTTGCAGCTTTGCCTTTGGATCGTTCGTCGATAATCGTGGGGCCCTTCGGCCCAAGCTTGTATTTCACCTCTGCAGCTTATCGCTTCAACGCTCTTAGACAAGGAGGTATTCAAGCTCCGAGGGCCGAGCGTGGAAAGTGCTTCCTGGGGGAACCCCCGCTGGCACCTCTGCTTTGAACGGGATGGAAGGAGATGGGAACGAGTTGGGCGTACGGCAGGGCATTCGATGGCATTTCCGAGGCGAGGGGGTGACCCAACATGACCCAAGCAATCCAAGCGTCTGGGCATTGGATTTTCTGCCCAGTCGGACTTGTCATCTGAAGCAGCTGACCCGGACGCGCCCCATAGGGTACCTGCAGGGATCCAACTTAATGCAGTTCTCTGGCATGGCGGCTGCAATCGTCGGCTCCAAATGGCTCTATTGCGGAAGTCTTCCAATATGTAGAGCAGTAGAGTCAGTAGATGCTTTGTCATGTCTTACTGCTTCCAAGCTGAACCAAGCAGGGAGTTGGTCGCAACTGTGCTCCGATACACACTGTCGTCCGCCTGAGTCTGTACGTGCACGCGCGAAAATAGGAATGTACTATCAACTCCACAACTGCCGGAACCACCAGCACAGCACGGACGCAAAGAAAGCCTAAAAAACTCCTTGCCGCGCTGGAACACAACCTGCTCAACTGGCTACCGGCCTTAACGATGATTGTTTCCATGCCATCGTCCTGGAATCACGTCGCTCGAATGGTAAACGGATTCCATGTCCGGGGTCGCCCAAACCCCGCAAAAAGCCAACTCCCGGAGTTCAATCGCATTCAGCACATCTTAAGACCAGCACTGTTAAAATGCGTGGCTAGCCGGTAAACGTGGCAGGTTACCCTTGCTGCCAAGTCAAGCGTCATCGGGAGCCGGTGTGGATGGAGTTGGAGCAGGTGGAACTCCATATCGTGGAGGCCCCGGAGGTGGGCCGCCGTATGTCACAGTCGATGACCCAACTGACACCGAGAATTGCGCACTGCTGCTTGCGCAGCCCATTGCTTCATAAGCGGGCTGGGCAAAATTTCTAAAAGGTGGTGAGTCCAGCGGTAGGGTTTTGGCTTTTAGGGTGGCTTCGCTACAAGACGGACATGCTGCCCCACCGAGAGTTTGTTGAGTGCACACCTGGGACACATGTTCGCTACGTCACTGCACTGCCTACATCAATCGAAACGGAGGATGGGGGTATCTACAGGGTCGTATCACGTTGTCTATATCTGGTTGGGTGTTGCAGTTGCGGTGCTGTGAAGTCTAACTGTCGAGGGAGAAGGCTCGGCTAGCCTGCTTGATCCTGCACTAACAAAGCGAAAGCAACCATTCCATGGAACACCCGGTTTGATGCCGTGGACCATGCAAGGGTAATATTGCTGGAAGCCTCTCGTAATCAAAAGGTCTTACGAACAACGACGCAGGTGGCAGTGCTGGCGCTTGTTGTGGCCAAGTGTTGACTGCTGGAGAAGACCAACAGCAGCCGCCGGCAGCAATGACCGGATAATGAGCAGGTGAGTGCAGTTCACAAATCCCGCAGGCCCCTTCAAACTTTCTCATTTTCCAACACATGCACACAAAGACAACATCCTGCCAGCATTGCGGAAATTGTGAGTCTCGGGCTCGGCTGCGTCTCAAACCTATCGACTATTTGCCGTCCAGCCTGTCCAGCTGCAGCATCCAACACGACATATCCTGGTGATGTGGTTTTGACTTGTGCCAGCGCTCCCAGCACCGGGCAAGAGGGGACCGCAGCCGGCAGCCTTTGCCCAGTGGTTGGGAGGTTTCCTCGACAATGTCACTGATGCTTTGACCGCGGAGGCGGGCCCCCGTGCAAGCTCAGCCTTCAGATCCTTCCAACTGCACCGCTCAGATGCCCTGTGCACGGGCCTGCTGCATGCGCAACACCTCTGCAATGGGCAGCGTGTCAGGCGAAGGGTCTTGCCGTCCCAGAGCAGTGGCAAGGAAAATGCCCCGAACTCAGCAACACACGCGATGTGTGACAAGGGAAGGTTAAGGCATGTGCAAATGGACATGACTGTCCGTGTGCAGCCTGAAGCTTGCAGAGTGGCCAAGCGGAGACATCGCTTTCCCTTACATATCTTGTATCTGTGATGGGGTTATTTGCTGCGTGCGACAAAACGAGGAGCACCGTTAAGAACAGAAGAAGGCAATCCGAGTAGGGCATTGCACCCAAACATCCCCATTCCTGTGGGCTTTGCCCCTATACTGTATAGCTCTAGTCCAACTCAAGGCTGGATGGGTTTCCGCTCTTTCCCTATGCCCTCCCACTGCAAACTTTAAGTTGGCCCATCGAAAGGAGGAATGCAAGCAAACATGCTGATGCCGTCGTGGTTCGCCTGAGGACGGCACCAAGCTCTTGTCAAGGCCAGGCCCTGCCTGCACCCGTCGAACGCCCTGTATGCTTTCGTTGGTGATATCTGTGTCACAGGGCCTGCCGGAGCACGCGGCGCTCGCCGGCAGCAGAAAAAAAAGGTGGAGCTCGAGCAAACAGCTGGCGAGGGCCCTGTGCGCCGCGACAGCGATGATGCTACTCCAGCGACACGCATGGCCACACGCCAACGGCAGCGTGCGCACGTGCAGCTCGCGTTCGTGCCAGGAGCCGGAGGAAGGCTGCGGGCTCGGAATCCCAGCGGACAGCGAATACCACGAGGTGGCATCGCGGCGAGCGCGAATAATAGCTCGGGGTAAGTGTCGCGACGCTTATGCCGCGTTGCTTGCTGAAGTGTGAGGCCGGGCTGACTGTCAGCCCCCCGGCTGTGGCTCACCGGAGCGAGTGACAGGGCAAATGCAGGTGGCATCCACAGCAAGCTGAACCCAGTGCCAGAAGGGCATGACAATGGCAAACGATCATGATGCGGCACATCGGGCAGGGAGGTTCATGTCGGCAAGCACGCACATTGCGAGCCATGCGAGCGCCAGCTTCCTGGCAGACCGTGGCGACAGGTTGCTCAAGCGGGCAAGGACGCCGGAGGTCGCACAGGATGCACAGGCTGCTTGGTGGTCGCCGAGCAGGTCAAGCCAACCACGGCAAGCGCAGAGTCGGGCGGCAGCGGGAAGCGCAGGCTGTGGACGAGATTGCTTCGATCGTGAGTAGGGCAGACTGTACAGCAGCAGGCGGCCTGCGGCCCAGCCGGCTCGGGACGCGGACAGCAGGGTGGCGAAACGCGTTTCAAACGTGCGCTAGTCAAAGGCGCGGGCGGTCGTACCGCTGCCAGCCCCGGAGACGGTGCCCGGCCGGTCGTAGACATCCAGCGTGCGCTTGGTGCCGCGGTGTGCCACACCCGAAGCGGGAACGTGGCAGCCTTGAGCAGTTGAACCACTGGGGAAGGTTGGTGGCGATGTGCGGGGAGAAAGCACGGGTTGCTGGGAAGTGTGTCGAGCCAGGCGGGCCAGTAGGCGGCATGGCGGTCGGCAGTTGCCGAACGCAACCTCGGAAAGTCATGCAGCTCCCCGATGTCCAGTGCGCCTGGCTGTTGCTCGCTTTCTGCGCGGCGCCTCGTGCACAGCACCTGCTCCGCAACCTGCCCCCAGCCGACATCCTGCCGTACGTTCGTGGTCACGACGACGCGGTCTAGGCGTTTGTTGAAGGCCTGCTCGGCGACCACGGGCGGCGAGGGAGACGACTGGGCTGCTGCTCGCCAGGTCGCTTTTTTGCCGCCGAGCCTGTGAGGCTTCGCTGTATCACCGGCAGCATACTAGGCGGCGTGGGCAGATGTGCTCCCGGTGTTGCGCCAACGATACTTTTTTTCCCACGCAGCAGCCCGGCTAGTACAAGAGTCCGCCCAACCCAAGAAGGGCAAACTGCGAGGCCCGTACCGCGCCGGTTGAGGGCGGGACATTTCGCAGGAGGTCGTTGGCCAGGGCGCCCCAACCCATGAACACTACGCTAAGCTTCAGGGCTTCGCCATGAAACCCTAGGGGCGGACACCGCTCGCGCGTTACAGGAACACCAGCCGGCTTTCTCGCTCTGTGCTCGACGTTGCGGCGATCGGCACCAGCACGCGAGATCACGCGAGCAGCCGGCCATGCTGACCGCTACTCAGAGGGCTTCGCCGCCCCGAGCTCGGTGACATTGTAAGAGGAAGGCACCACAAGGCCGGCGGAGTGTACGGAGCGACCTGCCCTATAGGCGGAAGATGGCGGAAGACCAGGATGGCAACGAGCAGGCATTAAAAGCCATGGGCAAGCGTGCTCGAGGCAATCTTAACAGAACTTGACCCAATTAACGTCTCGGGCGCCATTGTTGTTGCAAGCTGGCGAGCTGCGTCTTCAACGAGTGCTCACATCCGGGTCGGGAACGAAGAGTACCGTGTCCTGCCGCTACGCAGTAAACCCGATGTTTACGGTCGACGGGCTGAGCGCTGGTTGCCATACACGTCCGGGCAACCTCCACAGGAGGAGCACTTAGGCGTAAGTGGGAGGAGTGGGGCGGAGTCTGCGAGTTTTCGGCGTTGAGATCGGAGGGCACGTCAGCCGCAACACACTCACCTTCCTGCGACTGCTCGCGCGGGCATGTGCTTGCCAGAAGGCGCTTGGGTGCGCAACGGGAGCGAGACAATGTGCCGACGCTGGACAGCCTTCGCATCGGCACATGCTTGCTCGCTGTTAGAGCTGCCCGTCACAGGGCCGGGGGACCCAGCAGCCACTTCCGCGTTGACCAAGCGTTCTGGGTGATTTTGGGCGTTGTCGTGACCAGCACGGCCACTGGAGGCCCAGAGCTCGACCGCTTGCTAGACTTTGTTGAAGCCGCAGCGCAAACCGTGACAATACGTTGCTTTAGAAATGTGGCGCTGGCGACAGGACCTCAGCGGGTAAGAAGCTGCGAAGAAAACCGCATCTCAACGGGAAGCTTTAACTGCTTGAAACCACAATTACCCACAAAGGCCTGCCAAACATTAAAGGTCACGACACGGATTGTTACACCAAGCCGCGTCCTTCCTCCGCCTGCTCGCGCAACCCCGTGCCTCTGCCACGCCGCCTGCGCTCCGCCCAGCTGCGCAAGCAGCCTCGGTTCTCCGGTGGAGTGGCCTCGTTGCTGTTGCTGCGCAAAAAAGGCGCTTGCAACCACGTTCTTCGAGCTGCCGCTGCACATTGAGCCCTGTGCTGCCGGACCAGCCCCGGCTCCGCACGAACTCCTCGCAGACGCTCGTTGGACCAGCGGGCCTCAGCCGAGCCGCGTACCGGGCCGCCCGTAGCGGCAAAGTAGGATGCAGGTGCTGACAGCGGTTGATGGATGGAATAAGGTGACGGGAAAACACGGGAAGCTGATTTCTGTCCAGGCCCTGTTTCTCGACCATTCGAATGGCAAACAGCACAATCGGTTTTCACACTGTTGTGACCGTCCTTTCGCTCGTCTCGCTCTGCCCGAGTGCCTCCAACTTCACCGGGTCGGGACAGCCCGGCTATGCGTGCTTGAAGTGGCAAGCGAAAATCTCCTGCTCGACGATGCGGAGGCATTCGAGTTGCTGTCCATGCCGCCAATTTTCTTGCCTCCCGCCTCCCTGCGGTCCACAAACCTGGTGGTGGCTTCCGCATGCTTCCGTGGCATAGCTACAGGCGGCACTTTGCCGCGTCTCCAAATCGACTATGTGCTCCAGCCCGCGTCCACTCCTCGCGCCGTGAGACTCCTAAGAGTACCCACCCCAAAAACTACCGTGAGACTTGCTTG